GGTGCTCATAAACGTCCTCAAAAAAGAACCAAAAATATTTTTGGGACGTTTGTGAAGTCGTTCTAGCATGTGTGAGCAAAGTCAGTGAGTTTTAGTCTAATCCGATAACATTAATTAACATTTTTGGGAAGTAGAAGTGACCGGAACACAACTTAAGGGTTAAATCTAGGTGTCCTTTAGGATTGTATACAGAATATTTCCTGTGAAAGGTACATTGGACATTGATTTCATGTCAGTTTCATTTGGATGTAGAACACGGTTGTGCATTTTTAATGTTGAAAGCAGACTATTATCAGCAGTTTTTTCAATGTCTTTTTGACATTTTAGTTCTTTCAAACAGTTTCACTTTGCATTTCTTAAAGTGCCCCTATTATAGATTTTTAACACAGCTCTAAGTGAATGAAAACATCCTGCCAAATTTTAAATCTGAAAGTGCACCGTGTATAAAGTTATTGTCTCTCAAAAGAAAGAGTCGACTCTGAATCACTAAAACGAATCGTTTTTAAAACGAATCCCAAGCGTTTCATGTTGAGTGCCGTTTTTGGAGCGGTAAAATAGCTGTTTCCCCGGTAACGCTGTACACAAAGCAGCACTGCTCACAAACGCTGCTTTATCAGGCGTTACAGGCGAGATGAAATGAAAATGAGACCAATCAGACCAATCACCGCAGATTAGCATCACGCAAAGGAGGGGTTTGGAAAAATGAATCGTTAAACGAATCGTCTGGGAGTCGTTGAGCTAGTAAGGTAAAAATAAATGCATATTAGAAGACAATGAAAGTGTTTTTTGATCTTGCATGAATGTCAACCTGTTGTTGGTGACTCCCAAAACCAAAATATTAACCTTTCATAACCCATAATAGGGGCACTTAAAAGAAGTGTCTTTGTGGTTGTGAATAAAGCAGTGGTTGAATCAGATGTTTCTGATCTGTCAGTGAATGAACGGCTCGTGATGTCCTGTGGTCACATGATGGCTTTAACTGCAGTCGCTCCTCAGCGATCGTGTTACGGTTATGCACAGATGCATGCGTGTGCATTATGTAACTCCGACACTGTCATATTGCGCTTCGGCTCTGATTAAAGACCCTGAATGTCCACAGTGTTTTATGCTCCTGCAATGCTAAAGTTTCTGTTTGTGTCTCTCACAGCCATCCGTGGGAAACCGTGACCAAAGCTGCCATGCAGAAGTACCCAAACCCCATGAACACCAGCGTGTTTGGCGTGGACGTGTTGGACCGTAACGTGGACCAGCGGGGACGACTGCACAGCAAACGGCTTCTCAGCACCGAATGGGGCCTGCCGTCCATCGTTAGATCGGTACTGACTCCTGCTTCTCTTCTACATAACACAGACTGATCTGATTATTTGTTTGAGATGCTGGTTTGAGATGTTCATATCCCAGCTATGGGAAGACTTCAGCTATTCCTGCCCTGATTCACAGCGGTTGTAGCTTCAGTCCATCACTGAGTGGTTATATCAGTCTGGTTAGTCCTCAGCACATGTCGTCCTGGTGTCTCGTTTCTGAATGAAGTGTCCCGCTGTGACGTGAGTCAGAATGTCATCCTGTCACCCTTGACCTGCCACATTCATTCTGCTCAAGGACTGTCGGAGGTTATTATGGGACCAAAACTTTCCAGTACGAGTCCTAGAGCTCATGTCAGTTTGTTATTAGCACTTTACTAACGCCACAATAATGAGGAATGGTGAAAATCCAGTTCATGAGATTCTGAATTCCAAGCCTTCAAGTTTATTTATTTAGCACTTTACACAATACAAGCAGCTCCACATAAAATACATGTTTCAATGTTACAAACAAACTCCAAGAGAGCAAAGACATCTGAGCAGATATTAAAGAGAACGAATCAAGTGTGTTTGCGATCAAGGCTTTGAGTTTACCGTTTCTTTTCCCTCAACATACTGGATTGATGTTTGCCATAATAAGTCTCTGAAAGTGTTTAAAGAATCAAACCCATCCGGCCTGTAAATGAACTCACTGCTCCGTTTCATTACTTTAGAGTGGTCTTGTTGTTGGAAACGATCACCATAGTGGCGTCTTTTTGAGAAATGACTGAGATCTGAACCATGTTCACATGACGGCTCTTCAGGCTTTGAGTAATGATCTGTAAATAGAGTCAGTACTAGTATAGGTCAAGGTAATGTTGCTGGGTTAATTATAGTTTATCTTGTTCTGAGTTCTGAGGCTTATTACACTGACTGAAACTAAAGCCAAAACAGTACATGCCTTCAGATTCCTTTGTCTGTCTGTGCTGTTCAATTATGGTTATTAATAAGTGATTTATTCATCAAGCTGTTGTTTTGTTTTTCCACAGATCATTGGCAACGCGCGGACATGTACGTACATCCAGGAGCACTCCGTAGTCGATCCCAAAGAGAAAACCTTTGAGCTTCAGTCCACTAATGTAAGTGATCTCATTTATTACGTGAAACACGTGTCGGGACACATGCTGTACCCACATCAGCGCACTGCATTCATCATCACTCGTGCCGTCTGATTCATTTAATGTCAGTCTGACAGAGAGTTTCTGGTTTTCTGTCGCTCCTTCTCTCACACATCCATGTTCTTCATCCTCTGGCTTTCATATAGCATTATAGTCTTCATAAAGCGAGAACATTGAGTTTGTGTGATGTGTGATTGAAGGCCTGTCTAGGAAGGACTGGGAGGGCGTTTAGTTTCTGTTATGGTTATAAACAGCATACTCTGAGAATGTGTCATACCCATCATGCTCTGGTTTTCTCACCGTAGATCACCTTCACTAACATGGTGTCTGTGGACGAGCGGCTCGTTTACCGACCGCACCCAGAGGACCCGGAGAAGTAAGATTCCTCACGTTTTCTGATCTGATTGTGTTTAACGAGCTCATCAGCTACTGTCAGCCGCATGAGTTTGAGGTTCCCCATGGTGTCTGTGGTGTAATGTTGCTGATGTTCCTGCAGGACCATGCTCACGCAGGAGGCCATCATCTCTGTGAAAGGCGTCAGTCTCAGCAGCTATCTGGAGGGACTCATGGCCTCCAGCATCTCCAGCAATGCAGGAAAGGTCAGCAAGCCAGAACACGCTTCACCAATCACTGACCGTTCTGCCCCACGACTTTAGAAAGTGAAGGACGAATTTGTAAATAATCATTTCACATCAAAACCTGGACGCATCAGAGAAGGTTCTTGACCTCAAAGTGATGCACATTTCATCAGTGAATATGCATTTCTCTCTTTTATAGTTTTTCTTGGCTCTAAAATGTTTCATCAGCTTCATTGCTCAGTGGCCAACCAATATTCTTATTAAATGTTTTTAAATATTCAATATAAAGCTAATATATATATATATATATATATATGATATCACACTATTAAATTTTTTAAGACATGTCAGGGCTCTATCGCTTCTAAATATGTTTTCATAGTCGCACGCAGTAGTTTCTGTAGGTCGCACTGTAGAGCCCTGCACGTGCAAAATTGCTGAATTGATCATTATATTTATTTACTAAACTGTAAACAAATAATTTGAAAATTAAATTGATAAAAAAAATAAGTTATAAAATAATCATATTTATACTTTAAATGGGAACTGATTCTCTAATCCTATTACAATATTTTTCACGAATAAAGACATTGTTAAAAATCTGGTAGTAATCCGATAAATCACTGGGAATAATATTTTCTTGAATAAGACAAGGTTATTATTACTAATAATTGAGATACTTTAATTTAAAAAAAAGTTTAATCTGTGAGCAGTGTTAAGTCGCTGGGGTATATTTGTAGCAATAGCCAACAATACATTGTATGGGTCACAATTATGCATTTTTCTTTTATGCCAAAAATCATTAGGATATTAAGTAAAGATCATGTTCCGTGAAGATATTTAGTAAATTTCCTACCGTAAATATATCAAAACTTAATTTTTGATTAGTAATATGCATTGCTAAGAACTTCATTTGAACAACTTTAAAGATGATTTTCTCAATATTTAGATTTTTTTGCACCCTCAGATTCCAGATTTTCAAATATTGTCCGATCCTAACAAACCATACATCAATGGAAAGCTCATTTATTCAGCTTTCAGCTGATGCATAAATCTCAATTTCAAAAAATTGATCCTTGTGACTGGTTTTGTGGTCCAGGGTCACATATTGGGTGATATATCACTTGCCCACTACTTAGGCGTAATATATGATTAATTGATTCAGTTGTGTCAGTATTTTTCATAGGTCAAATGGTTCACGAATTGGTCCAAATGAGTTTGAATTCACCCAGTTTATCACAAACAACTGGACCGATATTGGATGTTCATTGGGTAAAAAGATGACGTGCTCAGTCTGATTGTGAGTGTCCGTCCGCAGGGTCGTGAGGCGATGGAGTGGGTGATCAGACGTCTGAACACAGAGATCGAGGAGCTCGCCATCACAGCCAGAGGAACCCTGAGGACACCTATGGCCGCCGCCGCCGTCACCGAGAAATGACCGCCTTCCTCTCTGTCGCCGCTCTTCTCCACGCGTCTTTCTCCAGTGGTGGAAGTTCGTTCTCGGCGTCCTGTGCACTCAAGCGTCTACATTAGAGGCTGACGGGGACACGGCCTGAGCTTTAACATCGACCGACAAACTCTCAAACCTAGTTTTAATGAATTAGTATAACGGGACACACACATGCTCTCTGATGTAATGATGGAAGAGGAACGTATGCCAAACCATTCAGCTCTGTTACAAGCGACTCTTACGCTTCACCAGCACTCACACACTTAAAAAAATTGTTTTACTAGTTATACTAGTAGTAACACTTAATACAAGCATCAAGGAAGGGAACAAACTAATCCAGACTTGCTTTGAAGAGGACCATCGCGGATGTTCAGTGGATTCTTCAGAACCTGAACTCATTAGAAAACCACTCAGACACTGAGCACTGAAGGGATGATGGTGAACGAACCGACAGAACGTCACATGACCATCATCATCACGCATGCTCCGTATACTGTTAAACATCTCCTTCCCTCAGTAGTGAACACGTGTGCACTTGCTGTGACTGTAAGTGAAAAGGAGGCCTGATGGGACGTTGGATCCAGACGTGAGGTGAAATGTGCGTTTTTGAGGAGGGTGAAATACATTCTATTTATCTATTTATATTTTGTAGTTTAATGTTATTTCATGCATCCACAAATCACAGCTTCTGCATCTTCCTCATCAGCGACTGGAGAGCGGTACTAATCCTGAAGCTCTTCAGATCTGCAGATGTGTTTAGTAGTGAACGTGACGGTGAAGATGCTTCAGCACAGAAACCTGTCCAGCTTTTACAGATGCTTGTGTTTTTCCTTCTCAGCTGAAATGGCATCGAAGACCTTCTGTATGTTTGGTTTACTTCCGTTTGAATATTATGACGAACTCAAATAAAACGACTGCATTTAAACGACCTGAATAGGGTCATATTATTAAAGGGTTAAATGTATTATGAATCGGTTCTGGTCAAACTAATTTTGTCCTATTTTATTAACTGTTTTGGAGGACTTTGAAAATGACCAGATGGAAAAAAAATGAGTGGAAAAAAAAAAGTTGAGAGATATTTCTGGGTGGTAGAATTAGTTGAATAAATAAAATTATTTCTTTGATGACAGAATGAAGCATGCAGCTTCTTTCAGCAAAAACCAGTCCTTCTGAATTATGTTTGATCTAATTTTATAACAATGTACACTGTTTCATATTGTTTTGGAACCTGTGATGCATTTTTCAAGATTCTTTGATGAATAAAAAGTTAAAAAGAACAGCATTTACTTAAAATATAAATCTTTTCTAACAATACACACCACCGTTCATAAATTTGGGGTCAGCAGATTTTTTTTCTTTCTATTTTTGAAAGAAATTAATACTTTTATTCAGCAAAGGTGTTAAATTGATAAAAAGTGACAGTAAAGACATTGTTAGAAAAGATTTTTTTTTTTTTTTTTACTTTTTATTCATCAAAGAATCTTGAAAAAAGTATCACAGGTTCCAAAAGAAATATTAAGCAGCAAAAACTTTCCAACATTGATAATAAATCAGCATATTATACTGATTTCTGAAGATCATGTGACACTGAAGACTGGAGTTATGATGCTGAAAATACAGAAATAAATTACAGTTTAATGTATATTAAAATAGAACACCGTTATTTTAAATTGCAATAATATGTCACAATTTTACATTTTTTTCCCTGTATTTTGATCAAATAAATGCAGCCTTGATGAGCAGAAGAGACCTTACGGATCCCAAACTTTTGAATGGCAGTGTATAATATATATATATATATACATTTTTTTCACATATATATACAATGAGCTTCTGCCTGAAATTAATTTCATGTTAGCTAACTTTGATTCTATTATCTTGAACTGTTAATTTGTGAAATGAACATTACTTTGACACATTCACTTCTGATAACAGATCACTCTGAATTATGTACTCATGCATTTTCTGTAAAGCTGCTTTGAAACAATGTGTATTGTGAAAAGCGCTATACAAAAAAAAGTCAAATACAAAAAATTTTAATTGAATTGAATGAATATATATATATATATATGTGTGGAAAAAATAGAAATAGGAAAAAACCATGCCTTTGAAATGTATATTTTTGTTTTAACATTTTTTAGTTATTTTTGCATTGAAATATAAAAAAGTGAATGTGATTAAAATTTTTTTATTTAAATATTTAATTTTAAATGTAATATATTTTTATATAATATAGCTGGATATAGTGCAACATGTACTTTTGGCTCTAGTGTGAGTTTGGCATCTTCAGGCGTATATAGAGTAATATACTATAGAGTATAAAATATAATATAATATAGACTGTAATGTGTGTGATGATCTTTCGCGCCACCTACTGGTCATTTCCGCTCTACAACGATGCGTTTTCCCGGCTTCGCTTGCGTCACATGACGAATTCTCCAGCAACCAATAGGATTCCAGTTTACTGCTCCATCTGACCAATCAAAATCAGATAATATTTAAAGGTATTTAAAAGTGGGATATTTGAAATTAAACGGACCAGAATCGCAGCCGCTGAGGAGAGTCGCTTCATCCTCTCCAGGAATAAACATAAATGAATCTATATTAATGATTTTTCTCAATATTAAATAGCACACACGGCTGGTTTAGCGAATGGTTACAGGTTATTAATAACACGGCGAGCTGGAAGTCATCGCGTTTCTGTCGGATTTGAGGAGGTTTTGTGTTGTGGAAACGGCTGACGGAGGTACGTTACTGACGACTAAACGCTGTATTATTGACATTAATTTCTTTAAAGGTTTTCATTTGAAAAGGTTCGTTGTTTTAAATAGATTTGAGTTTTCAGCATGCGTTTTGATGGAAACGTTAGTGTGAACGGGTGCCGTCGTGCATCAGGCCTCACTCGTTATATTTGTTCTTTATTGGACTGAATGTTATTGTACTTTAGTTAATGATATGATTGAGGTGTTTTGTTGTGATGCGTTTATTATATTTATTCAAATAATATGTCGTTGTTTAAACTCAGAATATGGAAACTGCTGCAAGAACCAAATCGAGCAAAGACCTGAAGATCCAACCTCCTGAAAATGAGAAGGTATTTGACCGTATATTGTTATAAACTTGTGTATTTATTCTCCAGAAGTCTGCATATTGTGTGTTTTATATACGTTATGCAATCGTCTATCAGCCAAAATCATAATTTGAATATTTAAGTAATATTATATTTAATGTTATTTCCTGTAACGTCACAGTTAAAATAGTTTTCATTTGTTCTCTATATGCAGTTACATACTACATTTCGTGCTCAGATCTGTATTTACTCGAAAGTAAATAGTACGCTTTTATTTATTTACAAGGCAGTTTGAAAATAACAGAAAAAAAGTGCAAAACAAACAAACAATAGATACACGATTATATCTTTGATACAATGAAACATGCAGCTTTTTTCTATTTTATTTATTTCGTTCCAAAAAAGGGACGATGTACATTAATCAACATTCATGAATGTAAATGTACCCAAATTAGCTCAACGGCTAGTTTTCATTGGTAGTCCCTTTGCCAGATGTTATTTATCCAATTTCGGTACCAAAGCAAAACACAAAAACATGCTAATTAAAAAATTTGACTATACGTTCATTTAATCCAAACTGTACATATTTAATTATAAAGGGCTTTTAAAAACTTCTAGAGTTATTCAGCCAAGAATAACAACTTAAGTTAGCTAAAAAAAAAGCCCAGAACTGCTTTTCTGACTGATATGACACAAACAATGTTAACTATTTGTACATTCTCTAACACGCATATTTTAGATTCACAATTCATTTAAAAGCCTCTGGTGTGTAAAAATAGTAAATATCATCATGTCCTCCTGTTTTTTTTTTACCCTAAT